AGAACAAACAAGCACGTTAGCCTCTCTGCTAACCGAGTGATTTACTTTGTATGGCCTGAAGCAACTCCGTTAGCTATAAACGTAAACCCTTGGAGATTTATATTCCGTTCCTTTCCAAGTGTTCCCTGATAAACTTCAAGTCACTGGCTCACGGTTTTGAGAACTTTGAGACAACCTTGGACTGTCAACCTGAGGGTGTCTGATGAGAATATTTAGACACGAGAAGGATGGAGAAATCCACGCAGTGTGGAGCTCCATAATGTTTTACACATCAACACTACTGTAGAGTATTATTAGAATAATTGATGAGATGGGCGGGGCATGTAGCGCGTATGGCGGAGACGAGAAATGCGCACAGAATTTTGGTTGGGAAGTCTTGAGTCAGCAGGACACTTGGAAGACCTGCGATAAGATGGGAGGATAATGTTAAAATGGATCTATGGGAAATGGGAGAGAAGGATGTGGATTGGATCAGTCGGGTTTTCGTGAACACTGCAAAGAACCTTCGCGATCCATAGAAGGAATTTCCTAACCAACTGAGCGACTGTCAGTTTTTCAAGAAGGGCTGTGATTCGTGATGTCGGTTGCTTGACAGAAAAAGTTGGATTCTCGTTCATAAATCACAACACATTATGTCCAGGTCACTGGGCCGAGTTCAAATAATTATATCACATCTGTGAGATCCTTTTTTAAAAATTGCTTATGTTTTGTAGTGCAGCTCGCATTGTGTGCGGGCAGATATTAGTTTCGAGAAGAAGATGTTGGAGGGCAAGAAACGAACTGATGACATGCTCCACAGACCACGTACCCCCCATAATGCTTCAGCCCCCTTGGCAAACAAACCATATGGCAGATGGCAATAGCTTAAGCAGCAACTTGAGGGATGTTGGGGCAATCTCACCCCCAGAGTTGACACCGCACTTCATGTAAACATCACATAGTACCCTCCCCAACCCCCGGGCACACCCTGAAGCCATAAAGATAAGATTCTTGGTGGGTGGGCAACACACAACGCTGGAGCGGTTTTTCAACTGTCATTTGGTTACGAAATGGCGTTCGATTTCTGCGTGCAACAGTGTAATAGAAACACAGATTACGCCTATGTCACGTGAAAACCTTGATCCTCCTTAACAACGGACTTGAAATATTATTAATTCTTTACTTGTGTATTATTAAAGGGCCAGACGAGGGTTATGTGACCCACTTGGAAGCGATTACAAGTGGGCATATTTCAGTACCACGTTCTGACTGCAGGAGACTAATTGCCAGAACTAAACGTAGAAGGGAGGGCAATAGTAAAGTGATTCTTAATGAAATGGGGCGTGAACTGGATTAAACTGGCTCAGGATTAGGCTCATTGTTGGTCTCTTGCGAATACGATAATGACCCTTACGGTTGCACAGATGCAGGGATTTCTGGACCAAATCGCCTGCAGAGAACCATTATACTTCACCGCACAACAATCGTGTCGTAGAAGTTGCCGCGCTGTAACGGCGAACTCGTTGTTCTCAGATACCCTCAAACGAAGAGATAAGTGAAGTGACCCTTCAAAGCCCAGTGGTAACTATATTCACCGCATAATTTATAGATTTCGTATGATCCACACTGTTGACAGCGATTACTTCGTTGGACAGCTTTGGAATGGTGAAGTGTGGCGTTTTCTTTTCGGTACGGACCAAATACTTAAATATTATTTACTCGATCTTCGGCTTCAGAAGGTGGAATATTTAAGAACCCAACCTGCTCTAGTCAGCGATGTAATTTAACCAGATTTTCGGTCGGCGATATCAAATGCAGGGTTCGGGAATCGACTGAGCTGTGCTCACTACAGGAATTTGGGGTCGCTCCCGTCAAAGCCACTCCCATTACGAAGCTGTCTCACCCCTTGCTCCGAGCGGTGCTTAAACTATCTCATCCCTCCAGCCTTTTATAAGGGTGAGTATGATTTCCAACCCCCCATCGGGCGAGAATTAGCTGCCATTTGCCTGCTAATGATGCAGATAGGAAACTTGTGTTTCTCTGTCTCACCCCCGTACATACAGTCTGATAACGAATGCAGAAACCGCCTCTTTTAAACGCGGACAACCCAAGGGACCTGAGACTTAACTCGATTTCAGGTTCACCTTTGGGCAGATGTATTACGTCATAATAAATGTGGTCATTGTTCGCAGTGTAATGTCACTTACCCTTTGGAGTCGAAGCTAGTCTAAATAATATTTAATAATCCAGTCCGTACCGCTAAGAAAACACAACGTTTCAGCGTTACAAAGATCAACTGGTTAACGCAGGTTTAAGGAAATAATCGCTGTTTATTCTGAGAAACATACGAGACACGTAATTACAAAATTTTCTGTTGCTGATTATTAAATCAGGTGATGTTATATTATACATTATACATTTTTATTTAATACTCCTTCTATTGTGATGTTATTTGAAACACTTTGTACTTCAGGATAATGAAGTTACTTTTTACACTTTTTCCAATAACTTTGAGTGCATGTACCGTTATTAGGTGTTCACATTCGTGCTTAATAAATACGAATTTATTTCTATGCACAATTTCATTTTCACATTTGTGGTAATAAACGACTATAACCGTAAAATAGGGGATATGCCTTATCTCTTAAACCTTTTCAATAGAAACAGCTGCTTACAATTTATTTCGGTTCCACAATAAGAAGAGATGTAAGAAAAATGGCGCCATTAATCTCGACAGCAGAGTTGGTTTTGTTTGATACAGATTGAGCACGTTTGAGAGTCTACACAGACCGAAGGCAAAAAAGCTGTGCTGATTACTGAGAAATAACTTTATCCCTTCCCCTGTCCTCCCCTGTTCGTTTAAGTCGATAAGGCGGTGGTGCTGTTGTTTGTCCAAAAAGAACTGTAAATCTCAGGTTTATACCATTTACCAATTCGCTTTGAATCGAATTTTATGGAATAAGATAAGAAAGTAAAAATATGTTTCGACTCCACCTTACCGACCAAACATCATGGAGCAGAGTACTTCCTGACAAGCTGACAGTAGCTTATCCGATCTAGAACTTCTCATTTTACATATCCTGACGATTCATAAACGTCTTCAGAAGAGCCCACCGCTGGAACGTACCCTGAGGAATTTTAATGCAGACCACACCGTCTCTCAGATCGGTTTTTGTATGTCTATATTTAATCTGCCCGGGTTACGTAGTGGTCTAATCTCGTTCGAAAAATATTTGTATCCAACTTTTGTTTCCCGTAAGTGTACTACTACATTTCCTGTTCCTGATTTGAATGTCCTAATAATATTTGCGGGATATTACATGTTGTAAAGTTCCTCACAGTGCAGTTTGCTCCATTATTCTCAGTCTCTGTCCTCTTATGGCGAAAGACCAGGTTTTACAACCACGTAAAACAGTAAATAAAATTGTAACTTTGTGCATGTTTTTATGCAGGAGACGAGGACTTGTCTTTACGTTCAGAGATTCCTTCGTCTGCTCGTAATTTCGTTGACGTAAGAGCAGATACTCAAACGTGTTATGTGTAATTCTTACAGCATTCGGATTGGTACTTTTCGATTACATTTAAAATGAAATTGCCATAAAATGGTTCGATCAGACGGAAGGCAAAAGACAGAAATACTCCGCTCACAAACATTGCATACGTTAACACCAGTTTCTGTTTCTTATCCGGGCCGAGTTGACAGCAGCTACCAGTCAATGTTAAAGTTAATTTCTGCCTTGCAATTCTTGTTGAAGTAACAGGGGGAACTCCTGGCTGTTTTAGCCTTCCATAGTTACAGGAGCGTCATTAAATGACCAACAAATAACGGGAGGGGGGAGGCGAAACATTCAGATTATTCGGAACCGTAATTGAGATGTGTGAACGTGAATCATTTACAGTTCACAGCTCTCTCAGCTGTCTCTTGCAGGAAAGGATATTCATGTAACGCATTGAAAATGCGTCTGGTCGTGTGATACTTGTGTAGTTTAAATGTTTTGTTCAGGGGAAGGAAATTGATGTCGCGCGTTATCTGATTTCGAGGCCATAATTAGCATGTTTTGTACACGAAAGCTGTATTAGTTGTGGCAGAATTTGTTTTGCTCCGCAGGACGGTCGGCTGTCTCCTGGGAGGTCCCGTGCCGTGTCATTCCGCCACCAGCCCCCGTCCTGACAGTTTGTCTCGGTCCATTTTTCTCCTTCCCTTGAATCTTCTTTCTCTCTTCTATGTGAGACAATTTTGTGGCTCAGATTAAAGTCATATTCGTTGCCTATTACAGAATTCCTGGGAGCAAAACATAAGGAGAGGATCATTTTTCTTTTCGGAACAGTCTGTCACTGTGACATTTGAAATTCGGGTCTGCCCTTGGCCATAATTTAAAGCAGAATACTACAACGACGACCGTCCACCTAAGCCATGAATGAGGCAAACATTTAGAACAACCCGAATTGCTATTTCCGTCAATAACTTAATTCAGTTTTATTGACATTAATAAAAATGCACTGTTTAAAACTTTGTTATGTTCAGTGTAATGTGTTGTATTGGATGCATGAGACGTCAAGAATTATACACGCTCTTCTATAACTCAAAATTGGATGTTGTCGTTTATGGACATCGGGGTGGGACTGGAAACTACGATTTTTTTAATGAATTAAAAACAAACATAAAGTTTCAAATTATGAATTCAAATTTAGATTATTTGCAATTGAAACGGTTACAATGGGTACGTGATATCCCGTGTCCATTACTCTGAACAGTGGTACTTTCTGAACTACGTCATGCGTCGGTTCCTGTCGAACTATCCCGATCAAGAGCAGACGAGCGCCAAGATCCCCGGTTATGAATTTATAATTAATTAAGGGCATTTTCATTAGAAGACACTTCAATGAAAGTTATAAGGGGATTACGAGCGTAATCGCTCCTGGGAACGTATTCCGGACATGTTCCGTCCCTCCCCTCCCGCCAGTCTTCACGACGTCATGGCAAAATGTCCTTCCATAATTCCCGTTGATGTTTGTTTCAGAAGCTGAGTAAGCCGACCGGCAGGGCTCCTCGTGGCGGGTCCTTGGAAAACTCTCTACGACCAGGTAATTAGTTATGCAGAATAATTAATTTAATCTCTTTGTTTTATACCAGAAGCAGAATTGAGAGCGGAATGAGAGAACGTTTGGCTGAACAAATTTAGTTTAAATTTGCTATCACTATGGTTACGTATTTTATTAAAAAAAATAGTGGCCTGAGTCTGTGTTAGGCACGAGACTTTTTAAGCTCCAACCTCCGTTTTGAGGTTGAATTAACACCCGGTTTAACAGGTAGTCCGCCATCTAGACGGCCCGTACGTACGATCCCCAAACTTAACCTTACTTCAAATAACCCATCCCGAACCGGGCGTATCCTCACACAAACCAACCCTAAAAGTGACCTAACCTCACCTGACTGAACCTCGCCTCTCTTTTATTTCTGTCTCTCTCTCTCTCCTCCTGTCTTCTGTGTAACTAAATAGTCAACGTGACCTCTTGATTGGTACTACAGCGCGCACGTAATATGCGTGCTCTCCTTTTCAAATAGGTTATCTCTAAAGAGCCTTCTCATGATAACGCACAAAAACTCACGCACGTGTGTACTCGCCTACGCGGGGCCTTGTAATACTTTCCGACGTTTCTTACCTGCGTGTCAGCTGGCCTGTCTGTCTCTCTTGTGGAGAGTTTCTCTCTCTGCCTGTCTACTTCCGATATAAATTAGCTTTTTTGAGGCGTGCGAGTCGGTTTGAATATCTTCTGCACTCCACGAAGCATGCCCTCAATCAGTTGCTTAGCTGCTCAAGAAATTTCCCCTCCATTTGTGTAACGCAAGGGCGCAGAACCCGGCTCTTGCCTTTTGCAAGATGATGTCGTCTTTCGTCTGAGTCGAGGTCTCCGAAATTGTTTTCCCTTCTACCTAAACAAAGACGAACTTGTGCGAGTAGTACACTTGCCAGTGGCTGGCTGTAGTTAACACGGTAATGAACATCTGAGTTTCATGAGAGACGTGGATTGATTTTGCCTTTTCAAGAAGGACTCTGTTTCATGAAGTCACTCCTCACCCAGGGTGTTTATACGGTCGTGTTCTGCTGGGGTGTCGAGACCTCGCGTGTGACTATATTGTAAACACAGTTTTTTTATGGCTTCTACGAAGAACGTATTTAAAATGAAACCGGCAATAGAAGGGAGTGTAAAGATGCAGAAATTCGTACAAAATTATTATGACGCGTGCAGTGGAAGAACATGGAACAATTATTTATATTTAGTACTGGCGCCACAGACTGCGCCTTTGTGACGTCATGCATTCTCTACGGTGAAGATGGAAGCGATAGAACCCGCCGAAACGTTAACCATGTTCAAAGAAAGATACGTGGTGTCACACAATTCACTAGACCGAGCTTCATGTAAATATCAGTTGTTTGTATTGTGTGTGACTCGAATATGAAGGCAGTGATGATTCAAGTAGTTGGTACGTATATTTACCACTAATCATTTAAACGCAATAAACGACTCTTAGAGTTATTTCCTTTCTTTGCTACTTTTTCACGACCCACAGTTTTACTCAGTTCCTCTGACAGACAACCTGAGACATAGGCTACCCTCAGTGATGTCAGACGCTTGTTCCAAACTTGAATAAAATTTAACATCTCGGGTTAAATAATCGTAGGTCTTATTAATCGGCAAGGTTTCTCTGACTGACATGATGATCAGTTGATTTGAGGTACTAACTCTTACAACCATACCAAATGAAAAGTAAATTTATCTCCGTGTTTGTGTGTTTTTGTGTATTTAGAGAGAAAGCTGCAAAAAAAAAAAATTGTAACAGTTTATTTTATATTTTTTATGTTGTAGGTATTTCAAGCCTTTAGCTGAATTTTAGGAAACGTTTTATATTATGTGGGAATTGGAAAGCATGTTTTGATCAAGATCGATCTATATCAGGGCCAAATGAAATGTCATTACGCCTGCAACATTTATCCACCCCTTTGAGAGAGTAAGCATTTGGTTTCCAGTAGCAAAGCTTAGCAGCTTGCAGTTAGGCTAAGTAGTTCACTGTGGTTCTGTAACCGTACTCGGATATCAGATGGAAGCCTTCCAATGCGAAACTTAACCAGACGTAGAAGTTCTCAGCTTGTGCGTTCGCATTTGATCGCGAAGTGAATGCTTGTCCTATTTTCAACTTGTAAAATTGCCTGTGCTAATGAGTGGACAGAAGTTTCGTACAGACGCGGGAAAGAATTGTATTCTTACTCGTTTCTGACACCGAGGGATATTTACTAATTAAAAGCTACGTGATTTATACACTTTACAAAGTTTCGCTTAAGTCTTCACGAGATGGGCGCATGGACAGATGACAAACGCACAAAGTGGACTGTTCGGAAAAACTGAAGGAAAGAGACCACTGTGAAGACTTCGATGTAGATGGAATAATGATATTAAAATGGACGTTGATTGGATTTGTTTGGCTAAGCGTAGGTAGACGTGGCGGGTTTTGTGAACATGGTAATGAATTATCTGGTTTTGTAATAGGCAGGAATTCTTCGACAAGGTTAGCGATTCTTGATTTTTAAAGAAGGATTCTGCTTAGCTGAATTAGTCTTTATTTTGAAGTGTTAAGTGTTTCTGAACCTGCACAATGCATACATATCTTATGTTATTTAACGTGCAAGTTGATTCTCTTAAGGTTGTGAAGCTATTTTGTGTAGGAAACTGGATTGAATGTTAGTCAAATGTGGGCTGCACTGAACTCATTTTAATTCTGGGCTGTATTTATTTGTTGGTGTGAGGGAGTCTTGTAATTAGTGACTACATTTCTGTTAATAACTACAATATTTTAGTGTTTTACACACCACATTATTTCACACAGATATGAACTGTCATGAAGGAATACGTTTTATGACTTCTGAATAGAATAATTTAAGACGAAAAATTACAAAATGAATATGTATTTTTAATTAATATTCATCGTTTGTACATATCTTAAAGTTGTCGTGACTGAAAATGTTCACTGTTCAACCGATATCGCTCTGAATCTAGACCTACTTACATTCTGAAACGAGGACCTCGCATACACACCTTCTGTTTTCGTTTTCCTCTTAGAATCACGTTGAATTTATTATTCCTTACTTTGTACTGTAAACGACGTTCGCAGTTTCGAGGCTTTGATCAAAATGCGAACAGATTCGTGTTTGGCTTCTACGTGACCCGCACTTCTTGTGTTTCTGCAAATGAACGTTTAGTGGCGACAAAAGACAACGTCGCTGCGTTCTCTTTGCTCTCTGCTCAGTGACGTGTTTATTATATTGAAGTATTCCATTTGCTTGTGACCTGAAACTGCTTTGACGTTGTTCTTACGCGCATTTGTTTGGCCTCTGACCTGTAATTTCACGGCTCTATGTATTATATAGTTTCTTTATCGTGAGACGTCTGACATATTGTCGAAAATTATTAGATTTACATTTCTGGTGGCATAATTTTACCTGTGTTTCTTTGTAAACTACTGAATTTGCTGTTAAAGCGGTTCCATTGTATGCGTGTTGACGTAGCAGAAATGATTAGGTCACCTTATTCCGCGCCAGGCCCAAGCCTTACGTTTTACTTGTGATCTGATTCTCCCTCCGTTTCGCTCTGTTTTGGTCCAGTTGAGTGGCGATTTGCAGTGCAAAAGCGATCTTTGTACGTTGCTGTTTCGTTGCTTGGATGCCGATCAATTCATTAAGCGGTCACGTCTTCTGTGCTGTGCAGAACACTAGTGGAAGTATTGTTTAGTATAGCTGCTTCAGTGTTCAGTTTTTTATTTATTATAATTTTTTCTTCTAAATTATTTTTTATAGATTAAGCATAACTAGCTGGCTTACCGAACCCGATGGTTCATCACCGAATTAACCAAAGCCCTCCACCGGACCCTGTCTCCTTCAACTCCTATCTCCCATAGATCCCGCCTGAGATTATCCTCCCATCTACGTCTAGGTCTCCCAAGAGGTCTCTTCCCCTCAGGCTTCCCGACCAATACCCGGTGCACACCTCTTGTCCCATCCATGCGCGCTACATGTCCAGCCCATCTCACTCTTCTCGATTTAATCACCCTGACAATACTGGGGGAGGAGTACAGATTTTTAAGCTCGTCATTATGCAGTTTTCTCCACGCCCCATCGTCTTCCCTCTTAGGCCCAAATATCCTCCTCAACACCTTATTCTCAAACACCTGCAACCCGTGTTCCTCCCTCAGAGTTCTAATTGACCGTAATGTGGGATGAAGTTTGTATTCCTTCGCGTCCTTTTAGTTTCAGAGAGACGTACCTGTTTCCAGGAGTGGGGAGAACGCGTCATCTCACCCCCTCGCCCACACAAGAGCTCTTACGCTGCAAGCCGTTTAAGTGATTATCTTAATGTCGTGTCCTTAGCTTGTAAGCCCTCCTTACGTGTGGTGAAGGAATAGGACGCCATTATGGACACGCCATTTACCGTTTAGTTTAAATAAATTATTGAGGGGCTTAATTCTGTACCCGCCTCGCCAAATCCCTGAGCCCCTGTCTCAGTACACCTGTCCCCGCCGTGTCTTTGAGAAATCCTAAACCCAGTTTAGTTTCAGACGAGGTGTCACGCAGGCGCAAAATGTCGTCGTGGGTGTCGTTCCAGAAATGAGACGATCGCCTGCCGTGGGGCACCTTCCTGATCCTCTTCCATTCACATGTCACCGTCAAAACCTACTTTTTAAGATCCGTCTTTATGTTATATTTCAGTTTCTTCCTCGGTCTCACAGGCGTCCAGTTCCCCAAGGTACGAAAATGTAACATGCGTTGGCTGTCTCCAGAATTCTGCCTACGTGTCCAGTACATCGGTCTCCTAAATTTCTTAGGTTTGCTAGAAATTCCAGGTGAAACATTCCGGTATCTGTGTTCAAATGTAACAGCCCCCTCCCCCCAACCCCTTGTCTTCCGTAAATCCTCCACACCGAATGAATTTCAAGATCGTGTGTAACGCGGCACACTGTGGTCTTGTCTTCTTATTCTCCTGCGAGAGTAAATTACAGGACTGTGTACTTTGCGTGTCTCCATGTCCCATGA